GGTCGGCCGTTGTGGTGCGAGTTGGGCTAACGTTGTTCCTAGCATTGCTGATCTTGACGGAAACGTGTTGCTCGATGTGTAAGTCATCATCGTCCTTTCAGAACCGAACATCCGCTCATGCAAGCAACGTCTAGCTACGCTCAGATTGCCTCCATTCCTGTTGGCTACAACAACCCCCACCTGCGCCAGGTTGCTTCGTCTCCCGAGATGGTTACTGCTTTGATCAACCGTCCAGCTCTGGGCAATTTCCCCTCGGCTGATTGGGCTCATGTCCTAAACACCGGTATCCTCAAGGTTGCCCCCAAGGGTCTTGACCAGGTTTTCACCGCCATGGCCGGCTCGGATGCCAACGAGACTGCCTACAAGGCCGCGTTCATGTACTACCGTCAGCAGCAGCGTGGAGGCCCCCAGGTTGAGTTTACTGCGGAAGAGATCGAGACCACCATGAACAACCAGTCCCCTGGTTCCCCCCAGCTGTCGATCCTTTCCTTCAAGTCCGCATTCCACGGCCGTCTCTTTGGCAGTCTGTCCACCACCCGCAGCAAGGCCATCCACAAGATGGACATTCCCGCCTTTGACTGGCCTCAGGCCCCCTTCCCCTCTCTCAAGTACCCTCTGGAGGAGCATGCACAGGAGAACGCTCAGGAGGAACAGCGCTGCCTGCAGGAGGTTGAGCGCCTCATCAAGGAGTTCCACAACCCCGTTGCTGCCGTGGTCGTCGAGCCCATCCAGTCCGAGGGCGGTGACAACCACGCCTCGCCTGCCTTCTTCCAAGGTCTGCGCGACATCACCAAGCGCAACAACGTGCTCTTCATCGTCGACGAGGTGCAGACCGGTGTCGGTGCCACCGGCAAGTTCTGGGCCCACGATCACTGGAACCTCCAGACCCCTCCCGACATTGTGACCTTCTCTAAGAAGGCCCAGACCGCGGGATATTACTACGGCAACCCCGCTCTGCGCCCCAACAAGCCCTACCGCCAGTTCAACACCTGGATGGGTGACCCGGCCCGTGCCCTCATCTTCCGCGGCATCATCGAGGAAATCGAGCGACTGAGCCTCGTTGAGAACACCGCCGCAACCGGAGACTACCTCTTCGCTGGTCTGGAGCGTCTGGCCAAGCAGTACCCCGAGCATCTGCAAAACCTTCGCGGTAAGGGCCAGGGTACCTTCATCGCCTGGGACACCCCCAAGCGCGACGAGTTCCTCGCCAAGGCCAAGGGCGTTGGTGTCAACATTGGTGGCAGTGGCATGAGCGCTGTTCGCCTGCGTCCCATGCTGATCTTCCAGAAGCATCACGGTAAGCACTCTGCAGTCTGACCTGTCGGATGAAAAACTAACGTGTTACAGCTGATATCCTACTGGAGAGTGTTGAGAAGATCATCAAGCAGCTGTAAGCTTCTAGCTCAACGGGCACTTGGCTTTCTTTCTCTCATCTTTTGATTTGCACTTTTCGGCGTTATGATTGATTTGAAGCGGATATCTTACGGGTTCGAGTTTTTCAGAGTAGCATATGATGAGTTATGTTCTAAAAGTGGTAATGGAATATGATCACTCTCAATGGATATTCTCCGAGCGTAGAGACAGGGTATCGACATTTTAAAAAAGGAGGAGCGCTGTAGAAACATCATTGAGCTGAAAATCATCTGGAGATCTAAGAAAGGAAAAGGAGCAAACTCCAGCGCAAGCCCATTTACTAACCTGATGCCGTATGTATAACACCGAAACTCCAAGCTCATGCTGTGGCGAACAATTCGTCCACTTGTAGACACCCCTATATCCAAGCAAAATGTACTTCCTGCCAAGGACCATCAATCGAATATCTAGGCCTCCTCCTCCAGCGCACTGCCATCCCTCCTACAAGCCGGTCAGTATCACCACTCACGCAGGAACCGAGGAGACAAACGTACGGGATATACTTAACCCCGGAATCCTCCAAGTTCGTAATGACATCGTCTGGCAACTAAACCCTTATAAGCTTCGTCCGATATCACTGGAAAGTGTCCGCTCACCGATCCCGTCACTTTAACAGCATATGTCCCCGCCACGTATCCATCCAACCGCTGCCAGCGGGCAACCCAGCTCGTCGTCGGATCGCGCAGGGTAATCAGGCCCTCGAAGACCTGCGAGGTGCATTCCTGGATGGCGTCGTTGTTGCCGCGGAGGCCGAGAATGTTATCGCAGTTCGGGCAGCCTTCGCGCATGAATTTCTGCGCGTAAAAAAATTGAGATTAGTGGGTGTGGTACGGGGTTAAGGCGAGTGGACGTACACTGTGTAGTTGGACGAGGCAGCAAACCATGCAGGCGCGCAGAGTGCGCTGCTGGCTTGGGGCGATGTAGAAGGATGAGGACATGGCTGGTCTTGCTCTCTCTTCAGACTTTCCTCTGAGGGATGACTGAGATTGACAGACGAGTGAGCAAGAAATGAGGGTTGATCGTGGTATTTTGGAAAAGGCAGTCGAGGGAGAGGATTGTCGAGCGACGGGAAAGGGAAATGCCAAGACCGGACGGAAATGGACCAGACGGACGGAGGACTGGCACGCCGCCGCCAAAGGGAGCGAAAAAGAAGGCAGAAGAAGAACTCAGGAAGTGCTGACAGTTGATCTCTACCTTTTCCTTTCTTTCCTTCTTCTTTGTCCCCTTTCCATACTTATCTATCTCTCTGCGCAAGCCCCGCGTTTGTTGTCTCCGATCCGTCTCCAATCCCTCTTTTGTTCTCCCATCCGTGGAAATCGCCCTCGTGCCCATCTACCCATTCCATCGCACTCTTTCCCTCGGTCGATTACTACACCTCGCAGATGGCTTCATCCGATCTCGAGGCCGCCACTGCACTGAAAGTGCAAGGGAACAAGGCATTTGCCGAGCATGAATGGCCTACCGCTGTCGATTTCTACACGCAGGCGATAGAGAAGTACGATCGGGAACCGTCGTTCTTCAGCAACCGAGCGCAGGTATGTCTGGGGTGGAACCGGTGTCTACACTAGAATGTGACGGAAACGTGAGGGGCAGATGCTGATACAGTGGGACACAGGCATATATCAAACTTGAGGCGTATGGTTTTGCGGTCGCGGATGCCACCAAGGCTCTGGAGCTGGACCCCTCGTATGTCAAGGTTCGTCGAATGTGCATTTCCAAAGAGAAATTGTTGAGAAAATGGTGGTTGACCGTGCTGCTAGGCATACTGGAGACGAGCTCTTGCGAATACCGCCATCCTGAACTACCGCGAAGCCCTCAAAGACTTCAAAACTGTCGTAAAGAAGGAGCCCAACAACCGCGATGCGAAACTGAAGCTGGCAGAGTGTGAGAAGCTCGTGCGGCGGTTAGAGTTTGAGAAGGCGATTGAGGTTGGGGAGCCGCCGTCTGCGTTCGAGGACTTGGACATTGATGCAATTGCCGTCGATTCCTCCTATGATGGCGTTCGTTTGGAGAAGGAGATGACTCAAGAGTTCATCGACGATATGATTGAGAGGTTCAAGAATGGCAAGAAGATCCATCGCAAGTATGCGTTCCAGATCATCAAGGCTGTCAAGGATATCGTCTATGCGGAACCGACGATGGTCGAGATCGGCGTGGATGAGGGTACCAAGTTGACGGTTTGTGGTGACACACACGGTGAGTTTGGCTTTCTGTCCGGTGTCGGGTGACTTGCCCACTAAACATGGAGCTAGGCCAATTCTTTGACCTTCTAAACATCTTCAACATTAACGGCTACCCCTCCGAGAAGCACGCATACCTCTTCAATGGCGACTTTGTCGACCGAGGCTCGTGGTCCACGGAGATTGCCCTGCTCCTCTACGCATACAAGTGGCTGCGCCCCAACCGCATCTTCTTGAACCGGGGCAACCACGAGACAGACGACATGAACAAGGTCTACGGTTTCGAAGGCGAGTGCAAAGCCAAGTACAACGAACGCCTGTTCAAGGTCTTTTCCGAATCCTTCTCCGCGTTGCCCCTGGCCACATTGATTGGCAGCAAGTATCTTGTGCTGCACGGCGGCCTCTTCTCCGACGACCAGGTCACCTTGGACGATATCCGGAAACTGAAGCGGCACAACCAGCGACAGCCCGGACAGCAAGGGCTGATGATGGAGATGCTCTGGACGGACCCTCAGACCGAGCCCGGCCGTGGGCCCAGCAAGAGAGGCGTTGGCCTGCAGTTCGGACCAGACGTAACGAAGCGCTTCTGCGAGAAAAACGGACTGGAAGCTATCATTCGGTCGCACGAGGTCCGCATGGAAGGTTACGAGGTCGAGCACGACGGACGCTGCATCACGGTCTTCTCCGCGCCCAAGTACTGCGACACCACCGAGAACAAGGGTGCATTCATCAACATTGGGCCCGAACTCAAGCTTGACTTCAAGGTCTTTGAAGCAGTGCCTCATCCTGACATCAAGCCAATGGTAAATTCTGTCTCTTTCGTATCTGCTCAAGCTACAAAGCTAACTCTCTCTCGACAGGCTTACGCGCAGAACTCCATCTTGTCGATGATGTGATATGACCTTTACGAACTCAGCACTGGTTGGCGTTTGTTTTGGATAGGAGAAAGATTTCCCTTGTTTGGTCAGAACATAGCGACCTCTAGTTATGCGAATTAGATGCTACATATGGATGTTTTGGGATAACAGACGTGGTGTATCTATTTCTTTTGATCTATGTTTTTGATCCCTTGCATAGCGGAACAATCTTTGTGATCGAGATCGGTACACGATAGCTTTTTGATCTAAAATAACATTGATCCTAGCAGCTTCATCATTAAGCAGTTCTTTTCCTTGACCTCTTCAATGCAGGGGAATGGGAAGACAGGTGCTCACAATTGCTTCCTGAATTGAGTCACCTATGAGGCCGTTCACCGGGCAATTATCCGCCCACTTTTACCCCACGCAGTCCAGCTCTTGCTCCATCGTCATTCAACTCTAGCTATCCGTATATTTCTTTTCTCTTTTAATCTATCAATTCTTCAAACATCTTCCCTACCAAAGCAATTTGTGATTGAAACTTAAAAATATGGAATACGACCCCAAAACCCGTATGTTCCCCATTCTCTGTCAAAGAGGGGCACACCGAACTAACCCCGCTCTGCTTCATCCTCACAGCGCAGTACCTCACCTCCGATCCGTCCAGCTTTGGTTACGTCTCCGCTCGCGAGCGTTGGCCGGTCATCATCGTACGTCTTTTCGCAACTTCGGCACTTCTGTCAATTTACAATGACTGATCAGGGAGTGTATAGACCAGCGCAATCGATGATCTTCACCGCACCGTAGCCGACGTCACCGACGAGGAGAAACGCAAGGAGGGCAAGGCTATCATTGAGGAACTCGCGAAGTTGAAATATGAGATCCAGCATGACAGGAAGCTGACGTATGTGATTCCTCCCTTCATCTTGTACCGAAGAACGGCTAATTGATTGGGCTTCTTTTATAATTAGACCGCTTCCCGACGATGGCGAGCCAGGTATTGCCGAGTATAATAAGGAATTGGAGCAGCGAGGAACGCCCTCATGGCAGAATGCTTCGTGGTTGTTCTCGGAATGCTATCTTTGTACGTTTCACGGTTATATACATGGTATTGTGGACGATGCTGACCAAGACAGACCGGCGCATCAGTACCCTCTTTGCAATGTCCAAGAAGTGGAAGGGCTACGATGTTTTCTCCCGGCAGAAGATGTCTACATTCAAGTCGTCACGTCCCGCTGTACTCGAGCTAGCTGCGCGCTACCATGAGCTCGCGCTTCAGGCACAGAAAGGCAAGGGAGTGGACGGCAAGGCGGCGGAGGAGATCGAGCAAACCGATCGAGTGCTCTTCTCTGAAATGTGCGAGATCTGCCTGTGGGGTAACGCGACAGATCTTTCTCTTTTGACGTCTCTCACATACGAGGATATCCAGAAGCTGCAGGGTTCCAAGGCGCGCAAGGCGGCCGAGGAGAATATCCTCGTCAACGATCTGGACGCCGCCTTTGATGTTCTCGCCAAGGCGCAGAAGGAGAAGAAGGACGGCGAGCGCCGTGTTGATATTGTGCTTGATAACTCTGGCTTTGAACTGTTCGTGGATCTCATCCTGGCCGGCTACCTCCTCTCGGCGGGCCTAGCGACAACCGTGGTACTCCACCCCAAGGTGATCCCGTGGTTCGTGTCGGATGTTACTCCGCGGGACTTTATGGATTTACTGAACGCTTTGGCCGACGCACAAGGCTTCTATACGGCCCCGGACGACACAGGACGCGAGTACGAGCCACTCACCGAGAAGGAACTGGCCGAGGTGAGGTTCCTGTTTGAGCAGTGGAGTGAATTCCACAGCGAGGGAAAACTGGTCATCCGTCCGCACGCTTTCTGGACCGCTGGAGGCTCCTACTGGCGCATGCCGTATGTCGCACCCGATCTGTTTGAGGATTTGAAGCAGAGCGAGCTTGTCCTGTTCAAGGGCGATTTGAACTACCGGAAGTTGACCAACGACGTGAGTTTCCCCTCAAGGTCACGTACTAGTACTTGCTTTCATTGCTAACTCTGTTTGACAGGCTGCCTGGGACCCAACAACCCCGTTTACAACAGCCATCGGCCCTCTCGGCCCCAGCTCCGGTATCCGCATCCTCTCCTTCCGCACCTGTAAAGCAGATGTCGTTGTGGGTCTGAAGCCAGGTGAAGACGAGAAACTCCGTGAGACGCAAGGCGGGAACGACCCTAAGGCCCGTAAATGGGCTTGGGGCGGCAAGTATGCCGTCATCTCTTTCTGTGACGGCAAAGCCTAAATTCACGTCCCTTAAATGAATAGAATAGATATTTAAATAGACGATCATGGTATATATCAAGGTAACCATTACAAATTATCTGTCAGTTGAACCCGGATATCAACTCCGTCCGAGCCTGATTGCTTTTTGGCCATGTTGCTCGCTTCGAGCGTAAGCAACAGTGATATTACCTTCGACAACTTGTATCAACATCCGTGGCACGACTTKTCAGGTTCCTGCCAGAAGCGGATCGTGCCAGCCCGAATATTACCTGCTTTACCCCTGAGTCAACGGTCCAAATCGGGTATTTCTGACCGCTGAACCGCCATATATGTTCATCTCAAGATCTCAGATTGGAATGCACAACCAAATCGTATGTATGGCTCCTGCAGTCCGCGATAGGTACATGAAATGGCAAACCCATACATATTGTCCAAATAGTCGTATATCGGTTGAGCAAGATGGTATATGCCTAAACATCTTCCACATGTTCACCAGTAGTTCGGATCCCAGCCGCCTTCTCCTGAGTATCATCAATCACTGGGCTACTGCGGCCCCTTGCATCGATGTGAGCCAATCTTGTATGCCCCTGCTTCTTTCGCTCCTTGTGAAGTTCTTTCGAAATGTTTACAGCCGTTTTCTCTGGATTGGTGAAGAGATAATCGATCTCTTCCAGTGTCAAATTGGCTGTTTCAGGATAGCAGAAATATACCAATGGCACGAAAGCAAAGTTAGTGCACATAAATATCAAGTAAGCCTTCCACTGCAGCCGGTTGATGATGATAGGTGTGATCATGACGACGAAGAAATTCTGTTTGCAGAAGGTCAGCAACCGACGCTATAAGAGACAAGACTCTCCGACTCACCCAGATCCAGTTCGAAGAAATACCCACGGCGGTTCCTTTCGCTCTGGCATGCAGAGGCAGGATCTCAGGCACATAGACCCAAGGGATGCAGTTGACAGATGCGCCGAAGATAAGCATGTAGAGGAAGAAAAACGCAACGGAGGCTGAGGAGGTCGCATGCTCGTTTGCCTTTCCCTTGAAGCTCAGGAGAATGGATACCATCATCATGCAGAGCCCCAAGCCAAACGATCCCCACATCATCGGGGCCCTTCGACCGACACGGTCCACGAAGAAGGTAGGGAAGAAGCTACCGATGACGAACATTATCTGAACGCAGCCTCCGATAATTAGCGAGAGGTTCTTGCTGAGGCCAACGTTACTGTTGAGAACTGTGGGTATGAAGTAGCTACGATCCTTGTTAGTGATGGTTCGACAGAGATTCGCAAGCACCTCATACACTACAAGATTGATGCCGCCGACTTGATTCATAAACTGCATACCATATGCTAAAAGACTATACCACGAATTAGCCTAGCACATATAAAATTTGATGATACTTACACCCGATGGCCGGTCGAAACTTCGTCGCGCTTGAATATATTTCTAATCAATCAGTCACTTGAAAAGCAGTTGGTCGCTTTGATCACTAATTCCTACCTCCACTGATATCCCCCATGTTTTGTCTCAAGTTCGAGAGCTTCAAGAATCTCTTCCTGTTCTGCCACAATCTTGGGATGGTCCTTTGGCAGACCAGTGACATCGCTCAGGATCTGGAGCGCTTCGTCGTTGCGCTCTTCCTTATAACAGTATCGGGGAGACTCCGGCAAGCCAAACACCAGAATAATCACAACCTTGACACAATGTTAGAAGCCACCTCTTGTTCATCGTGGTATGTCACTTACGAAAGCGAAGATCATCTGACACGCAATGGGTAGTCTCCAGGCAATCTGACCACCAACAAAGCTCATTCCGTAGTCAAAGAAATAGCTGATGACAATTCCCACGCCGACGAGCAAGGGCTCACTACATACTAGTTTGCCGCGCTTCGAAGCCTCGCATAGCTCGGCTTGATACATGGGGACGGTGGACGTTTCAATACCTGTGCCAATGCCTGTGACGAATCTCCCTACCATCAGATGTGCAACAGAGAATGCTGATGTTTGCAATGAGGCGCCAATCTGCTCATCTGGTCAGATAATTCTCGCAAGCTCGATTTGCCGCAGAAACCCACAATTATCCATATCATTGCAACCCACATTGCCCGCCGCCTTCCCAGCCATTCCGCGACAACAAAATTGACGATACACCCAGTGAAGCAGCCAAGGTTATATATGGAGACAATGATCCCCATAAGGCTATCGCCTGGACGATGCATAGTATCGAGAAAGTCTTCATTCTCGACGATACCGCTAAATACTCCTTGATCGTAGCCTAAGATAGATTAATGAGGCTCAATAAAGAAGACGCCAAGATGGATCACCGTACCAAAAAGTATGAAGGCCATCCCACAAGCTACCCATATGGCAGCTTGCAGGGTGAACCCTGTCCCAAACATCTTAATCTTGACCATCCTGAATTTCTCTGCTCAATATCCAACGCGCAGGATCCTGCACGTTCCTACAAGGATGTGCATGGATCAGGCGTGGAAATCTCAAGCATAAATATATCGAGTAGAAATAGCGTAGTACGTGAGCGCAACGCAGCCTGCAACAGGCATCTCCAACTTCGAGAAATCCCTCGAATGTATTACCCCGAAAATCCCATCCTAATTTGGCAATTCGAGCCACGGACTTCCCCCGCGAGCACAGAATCCATGCGCTACCCCGCAAAAGCTGGGGCAGCTGGGGCGCCACCTGGGTAATCAATCGAGTTAAGTTGCAACGCAAGATGATACCGAAGCCCTATTTCTCATGCATTGGCAGTGATTGCTTGCAACTCACCCCGCTTCGAGTCAAGGCGGAAAGCCGGATTTGGGGGTAGTGAAACTGCATCCTCATCGTTGTGTGCGCAGCCCGCATTCAGCATCATCAACACAAAACAAGACCTGAGTATCTCATCCAGACTCCTTTGGGAAGATGTTGGCATCTGGACCACCTAAGAAGCGACGGCGAATCGGCAGTTCTGTTGCCGAGGGGGTTGCATCACCTATGCCTGATGCCTCTCCTCCCAAGCTAGTTGACTGGCAGCAATCTCCTACATTCCCCCTCGCAGAGAATTTGTTTCTCTCGCCAGCGAGAATGTTGCAACCAGATGTCTTCTCGCAGGACCCGGGTTATCTCGCTTCGCAGGAGCAACTCCGGGGTATAATATTCTCACTGGCACACTCCGCCGCTCCAACCCGTGGGACAAGTCCTGAGGGCGACGCTTCAGGAGACGTTGACCAGATATCACCTCGGAGATTCTCCGAGTCGCCTCTGCAATTGAATCGAGAGCTGCAGCAATCACAGCCATTGATCCGACCGTGTCTGTCAGATAGGAGACGGGTTGACTATCTCAAAAACTACGCGACACAAGTTGCCCCGTGGGTTAGTTCTTTAGAGTTCTTCCTTTGAGTGGTCACAATCTTCTCTTATATCAGTTGCGTGAACTGACCTCCAAGTTTCAGCTGGACATGTTTGACTCTCAATGCACCTTTCGTCAGGAACTGCCTGCCTTGGCACAGTCCTTTCCGGCCTTGACTTATGCGATCCTCGCAATCTCCGCCCGCCAGATGGAGCGCAAAAACAACACACAAGGCTCATTTGACAGTCTCGAGTTGTATCAGGAAGCGATACGTCTGCTGAGCCCCCGGCTTCAAGAACGGGATCCCAAAATTGTCGCCGCCTGTGTGCTACTGTGCTGCCTTGAGATGATGTCGGCCCGCGCACAGGACTGGCGGCGGCATCTGGAGGGATGCGCAGCTTTGTTTGACGCATTCGATATCAATGGATTTGGTAAAGTCTTGCTTCGAGCCCTTTTCTGGTGCTATGCGAGGATGGGTGAGTCATTGTTGGTCCTACCAGCCACTGATTTGCATGTGAAGATTCTAATCTGGACCCAGATCTTTGCGGTGCGCTGATTTCGGATGGTACACAAGCCACTTTGCTTCATCCATCGAAATGGATTCCTCAGGGTTACTGTGAGGAGGATGCGCGCAGATTATTTCAAGCATTCATGTCTCCCGACATGCACGCAAACTATGCAGTATACCTATGTGCCAAAGTGACGGAGCTCATCTCAGATCGTACCAAGTTTGTGGAGCTTGAGGAGTCGAACGGCTGCACCATGGAGGTTTTCTCTTCACGCTGGCTGCAGCAGTGGAACGACCTGCAAAACTGGTTGTCTGAGCGGCCTAAGGAGTTACTTCCTGCTGAGACAATCAACGACATGCCATTTCCACGCATTCTTTTCGTGCACTTTGCCGCTATCTCCTCCAATCAGTTGTATCATACAGCAGCCATCTTACTGCTAAAGATGATACCCAAGGGCATCAAATTGCCCCGATCTCCTTACGCATCGCTGTTGTGGCACGCGCGTCGGATTTGTGGGATCTCGTTGACGAACCCGCACCAGGGATGTCTCAATAACGCCCTTCAACCCCTGTGGATCGCAGGACGGTTGTTCAGCCATCCCTCGGAACATGAGAAGATAACCAAGCTTATTCGGGATATCGAGGTCGAAACTGGATGGGGAATGTCATGGAGGATTCGCGATCTGGAAACTGCATGGGGTTACAGGTCCAATTGAAGACCCGAATTCGTACGATCGCACCTCTTCGCGTAGAACGCACCGACGGCTTGCATACCGTTCGCTCTTTCAGGCATCTTCGAGGGTGGACCAGTAATCGCGCAAGTCGACCAGGTATTGCCCGATGTCCCATCCAGTGATCTTAGTGATGCGTTGGAAACCACGTATAATCGCTTGCTGCTGACTCTCATGAGTCATATGCTTTGACGCTATCAGGAGCGACGCAAGCAAGCACGGATCCCAACTTTCCCGACTGTCATTGTTAAGCGCGATCCCGCAGATACGCTTTGCATGCCATAATGGAGACAAGAGCGTAGACTGATATTGCTGGAGTTTTGCTGTACGTGGCTTGCATTGGAGAAGCAACACTAAGGCAGTATGGTAGAGCTGATTGTTAAACGTTCCAGCGCCATTTGCGAACAGTAACAGAGGGAATTCAGAATTGGAGTCCGACGGATGCTCAAATCCAATCTCCACCATCGGTTGAAAGTCGGGTGGGCGCAATTCATACCATTCGCTGAGTGCTCTAAAAATGAGGATCCAATCTTCGACTGATGAGCGATCATGGCCCATTTCTCGCTGATGACACAGAGCCAATGCTTTCGCACATAGCCACAGCGCAACATGCGTGAAACGGGAGACCCTTTCAGAAACGTCCTCGGTGCACGCCAGCAGTGGAAGATAATGAGCCGGATGAGATGGAAGCGATGGAAGCGAAATCCTCATTGCCATATCATTAGCCAGGGCAATCCCCAATTCTGTTGTCAAAGTCAATCCATGCTCCGTTCAGGGACAATGTCTTCAAATCACAGCTTTGTACTCACCCAACCTTACGAACATCCAATATGCAGTAGAGATGGTATCACTCTTATATGCATTCTGTGCAAGAATCTCAAGCAGACCCACATCGCTGTTCGGTCTGGTTCCCCAGGTTTGCGAGATATCTGACACTAGGCGCTTTAATAATAGAAGTAGTGTTAAGATGGCCGCTTCTGTAATGGCCAGAGGCCGCGTATTGAACGAAAACTGGCCAGCAGTGTGCTTGACAGTCTGGTTTATGCTCCAGGGATTCTTCCGTTGGAATGAGCTTGTTTCTGTAATTGACGCTTCCGATAGTGCCATGATTCCGAAAAGGAGTTGTTCTTCTGACATGGCCATACGGACGACTTTGATTCCGAACGTGTGTTCCAGGTCGCAAATGTCCAGCTTATTGGATCTCATTAGATAATGTGAACCGTTGCACTTATGAGAGAATCAGACCGGACTCACCCAAGGGGCAACCTGGTACCGATAATAACGCAGGAGCTCCAGACGGTAATTGGGAGTTACACAACTTCCTGCTGTCCTATTAAGACTTGTCGCCTCACTTCGGCTAGCAGAGCTTGCTTCTGTACAAGGCCTGGGCTGTGGCGTTGAGTATGTTTCATTATCATTGTTCGCTTGACCATGATCTTTGTTTGCCGTGATCCAGTCGGGTGTGATCAGGTAGCGTACTGTCTCTAGTGTGGAAGCAGTATGAGTTGAGGTAGTGCTAGTCCCCAGTTCTAATAAACCATGTATGGCAGAAACATCTCTCTCGGTGAATAGGATTCTGTCGGTGGGGAATGAAGGAGTAATGGCTCCGAGATCCGATTGAAAACTGTCATCTCGCTCTGCTGCAAGAGGAGAGACCCGATTTTCATCAATCGAACCGTTCGATTTTCTGACTAGCTCACCTCGTGATCCTACTTTGTTCACTTGTATATTAGAAGAGCTTTCATATTGTAATCCAGCTGGATCGTATACTGAGGTGAGTACTGAAGGCGAGGAGTCTCTGGCGATATGTGACGGCAACTGTTTCACACATGCACCTCTAGTTCTGGCAGTCAGTGGGCCTTCAGTTACGAACTTCCAGGAAACCAGCTCTGTTAGCAAGTGAAAAGTGCCATTCTCATCTGTCAAGTACCTTACCCGTATCTTATTGTAGTTGGCATCGGCATTCGATGTGCGCAACTTGTCGGCTACGGTATATGTATTTTTCGGCAAAAACGAAAGCTGCAGTCCGTAATGGCAGCTAAGGCCTTTTCCAATGCAGTTGCTGCACTGCGGTTTTCCCTCATCGCCTGCAAGTCTTCATTTAATCCATGTAGTCACGTTGTAGTGTTCCGATTAGGCTCGCTCACATTTTCGGCGCCGCCCTCGGCATGGAAGACAGCCAGTTCTACATCTGGTAAATTTAGGCGCAGCTGACCGGCTGGGGGAGCTTGTGCCTGCCATTAGAGCTTTTTTGGAATTATGGCAATAACAAGCACAAAGGGATCATATTGACTTTGATAAGAGCATCGGCTATTGTTGTGCGATGGTAGTTGCGATCTCAGTGTCTACGAAACCAACCCCGCAAGAACAGATGGGGTTGGGCCATGTCCAAATTTGGCAAGCGTAACCGTTCGCTGCCAAAATGGCGTCTGCGACCGGTGCTACATGTTTGACTCCATTTAATAGTATCTAGACTACAGAGTAGTGCGTACCCTCGTTATCGAGAGATAGGCAATCTGCATTATCTATGAAAGAGACCAATGTCKGAAAGCTAGTATCCCTAGACATAGCACAACAAGTTTCTTAAGGGTATACTGGCCAGTCACTGGACGTCTGGGTAATTTCTGGAAAAAAAGGACGATGAAGACATACGAGAAGAGGCAAGAAACGTAATGTTGAAGAACTTCAGGGATATTAAAGCTGAGACACTTGGCAAAATCAGACCCCGACGCCGGTCCTTTAAACCCCCCAAACCCAACGCTTTCCCAAGACCAAACAGAGAAGAGAGATATTAAATGAATGAAGTGATCATGTATACGCCTTCACGGATTCCTTGCCCGCTTCTTTGCTCTTGCGAGTCTGGTCCTTTCGCTTGAGTCGTGCGTGGGCAGCCAGCATCCGTTCAACCGGTATATTGTCCCGTTGTAATGCAGCCAGGCTGTGTCTCTTTCCCGTTCGTTCGGTGAGACGCAGGTCTGCCAAGCCGGATATGGGATCCAAGCTGTATCTTGACGGCGCACGGCGCACTTTTTGACGATGGGTACGATATTGTTGGCCCTCGTCGCGGTCGGCTAGGTGGCGCGCAAGGGAATCGAGAGTAGTGAGAGTCGGCAGATGCGTTCGGTAGTCATGGTGGTTGTACTTCGACTTTTCAGCAAGTATCTCGGTAGATACGTCAATAGGTGCTAACTCAGGGGGCGAAGAGGGCGGAATTGGGTCAGCAGCTGCGACCGGCGCTCTGCGAGAACGGCGGCCGGGGGGTTTAAGAGGCGAGTCTGTGTAAGGCAGTAGTTGAGCATTGATTCCCTCCATACTCAGGGCTTGAGCAGCCTTGTTTAAATCGAGATCAACGGTGGGGTTGTGTAGATTACGCGAGCGTCGGTTTTTCGAGCGTGGGCTCGGACTCGGCGGTTCATCGACCTCCTGGGACTCTTCGGTCTCGTTGCGCTGAGCGATGGTGTGCCCAAAATCATGCACTTGGACCCCAGTGTAGTCCTTGTGCGGACTGTATGAGTGGCGGCTGCGGATCTTACTGTCGGGAACACGCTCAAACGCGGCTACTTTCAATTGGAGAAGGTCAATCTGGTCCTGCATGCGACGTCGTTCTTCATTGAACGACTCTCTGAGGTCTTCTTCCATTTCGCGATGTTCCTGTGAAGCCGTCTTCAGGCGGTTGCGATAATCCTGAATCCGGGCTTCGAGTTTGATCTCTCGTTGCTTGAGCTTCGCTTCCTTCTCTTTGCGTCGCCCTTCGTATTTGCTCATCTCTTGCTTGACTCTCGCCAAGGACTGCTTCAGTGTGAGATTTTCTCGGGCCAGCTCAGAGGCCTTCTGCTCTGAGCTTTGTGCGAGTTCCTTGAGTTTGTCGAACTCGACTTGTTGGAGTTTCATCTCCTCGATCCTGGCATTCGCCTGACTCAAAGCCTGCTGGGTTTTAAGCAGCTCCTGGCTTGGATCGTTAGACGGGATATTCCTTTCTCGTTTCTCCACGATTTCATCCACCTCAGTACCGACAACACCATGCTGCTCTAGGAGCTTGCGTAGGGTGTTGACTCGATGCTTATACTGCAGGGCTAAAGCCGTCTGTTTAGTCAAATCTTGAACCAGTTGCTCTCTATCTGCCTTTGCGTTTTCCGCTACCATTGTGGAAGCGAGCTGTGTGACGTGTCGTTCCATTTCGGCGACCTTCACTTCCTCCTCCTTCAGCTTCTTAGCCAGACGCGAAGCTTCTGCTTCCTTCATCAGAGCGAATTTCTTGGCAGCGGACCGATACTGAATCAGCTTTTTGATTTCGTTCGTCGTTTTCGCACGGTAGCTGTCAAACTCGGCTTTCCAGTATTTACCAGACTGAGAGCGTGGGTCATCGAGATTGACGGTCTCGTCATCTTCCCTGGTCGACTGCGGTGCCCCCTTAGAAGCGGTGTCCGTGGAAGGATTGCGATCGACTTGTTGGCCGTTAGTAGTCTTAGAGTCATCGGGAGACTTGTCCCGAGAATCCAGTAGTGCTTGCGTGAGTCTGCTTCGTGGCTTGCCCTTGCTGTCTGTAGAACTCGACAGCCATTGGCTGCTTAGGTTACCGGACAAATTCGTCGGCGTTCTGGACGATTGCGCGAACGCATCGTTTCGCCTTCTTTCATTGTCAACAACACCGTCACCAAACGAGACTGTCTTTCGCCGATTTGCAGCAGTACCCGGTGTGACCAATATGCTTTTGGTCGGCGACACCATCGCGTTTACTGCCATATCGAGGTCCGTCTTGTCAATCTTGGTGACATCTGTCGCGTGATAAGCAACTGGGGGCTTCAATAGATCACTTTTGCTCGGCTGGCGACTCGCTGGTTTTTCATCTGACTTCGACTTCTGGTCGCTAACCTCCTCGTCTTCCGCTCCCGGGGTGCCAAACAGGGCACTTTTAAAGGCGCGAATAGCAAACACAGGAGCTGGTGTCTCGGGAGGATCCATAACCTTTGAGTTGTCTAGGGAAACGAACAATAACACAAAGTCAGCGCGCAACCATGACAATTGCGGTCGTCAGAAAGATAAATGCATGTAGTCGGTCATTGGTCACCACCGACCAGTGAGTGGGTGCTAGAGCTCTGGGCGGGCACTGATGGACACACCTGCGGAATGCGCGACGGGGTTGCTCTGTCCACTTATCCAGTCCAGCATTGCGTCTGCGGTGGAAACATGGAATTTCAATTACCAAGCTGGATAAAAGACGCATCGCAACAGCGACGCCATTGGTGTATCAAGAGGGGTTCGAGCAGGGCGTGAGACGTGGAGCGCTGTGCTTTGTTTACACTTCTCCAGCGACAGCGCTAACAGCTCAGGGCGGTGAGCGGAAAAACAACGGAGCGTGGCAAGGGCCAGCCAATTGAGGTCCACCAATGCCGATGGGCCAGTGCCTTGGTTTATATAACGCTCTTCCGCTCTCTAAGCTCCATCCCGCCAGCCCAAGAACAACTCATTCTTCTCAACCTTGTCACCCCAGTCGGATATAGATATGTTCCTTTCGGAGATATAGACGGCTGCAGCTTCGGCTGCATCTTTGTCACTCGCGTCTCACGTGGCAAAGACCTCCTGAATCTGGGTTCAGACTTACTACACCGCCCACCGCCCCGCTATGCCTCACAAGAAGAAGAATCCTAGCAATGTCCATAAAAACGGCTCTCCCCGAGCGGAGAGGAAACAGTCGACGCCGAATACCACTCCGCTTGCTCAGCCTGGACTAGCGACGACAAATTACCAGGAGATCCACCAGAATGAAGCCGAGGCGTTACGCTCGATCTATGGTGATGACTTTGAAGAGATTGAGCACAGGCCTTCCGCCTGGCAGGTGCGCTTAATATTCTCCGACTAGGTTTTGACGCGGCTGACATTGAGCATTGTAGCAAACGTCAGATGTGGCATTCAAGCTTCATCTACGTGCTTCGTCAAATCCCGAGGTCCGTGTTGATTTGCTAGTTGAGCTGCCAACGACATATCCGAAAACGTATCCGAATCTTTCGCTGGGTAATTCAGAGAACATTCGTCACAGGGCTAGGTTAAAAATTCAAGACATTATTCGAAACAAACCGAAAGAGCTGCTCGGCTCTGAGATGATCTATGAACTCGCCGTATCGATACAGGATGTTCTCGAGGATGTTGCCCAGGCGCAGGCCCAGGATAAGGATCTACCAAGTTTAGAAGAGGAGCGGATGGAGCAAAAAGCTGCTGCCAATCAGCGTGCAGAGCTGGAACGGCAAGAAGAGCTTCGAAAACAGGAAGCGGCCACAGCAGAAGAAGAGCGAGCTCTGCAGCAGCTGTTGGAGGATAAGCTCAGAGAACGGACGAAGGCTCGACTCTCCAGGCGAAAGAGTAGGTCTTCCGGTGCAGGCCTCTCCGGCTCTGTCGATGCGGTTGACCACTTCCCCGACGCCATTACTTTTGATCCACCGTTGATCATAAACGACACAAATGAACAACCTCTAGGTTTTAGGGCTGTACATGGGAAGACACTTCTACAGAGCAGTCCAGGAAAGCAGACGTTTACAGTCAGACCCGTGGTGTCCGAGAGCCGCTCATATGCACCCCTTATTGTCCTGAAAGAGCTTTCTCTCGACGAAAATGGAACGGCACCGCTGTGTTTTCGGGAGCGAATGCGTGCCAGTGAGGACAAACTAGAGGCTCTGAAAAGACTTCGACATCCCAATCTTGTGGATTTTATTGGTTTCAAGATATATAGGCCCTTAGACTCCTTTGATGCCCAAGACAGCACCTGGAGAGTTTATCTTCTTCTTGAATATGCGAACAAAGGGTCCCTATATGAGTTCCTGGACATCGTGGGGAGCGTGTCAGTGGAAATTATCCGTAGTTGGATGATCCAATTGCTCGAAGCTCTTGAGTTTTATCATCGCAGCGGATTTGTGCATGGGAACATCCACTGCGGACGCATACTGCTTTTCAGGAACCCGCAAGGTGGCACCATTGTAAAGCTGCAGGGAAGTATTGAAGATGCGCTCCCCGATACGGAGAACAGCAAGAGAGCCCTGACGACCTCCAAGTCACCCTTCTGGATGCCTCCTGAGCTCACACAAGAAAGTACGCCTCTAACAATGAAGACTGATGTATGGGACATGGGCATAGTCTTCTTACAGATGGCGTTTGGAAAGGATGTGTTGCAGCGGTACACTTCAGCGAACGCACTTATGGGAACATTGGGTTTATCAGCACCTTTGCAGGACTTGCTGCATGAATTTTTCAGACCAGATCCGAAGAAGCGTCCGACCGCTTTCCAGCTCCAACCCTTCGAGTTCTTCCGGGTCGACACACCTTTGATTGCTAGCACGAGTACTTCGAACTCGGTGTCACTGCCCAGACGCCCACGCCTTGACTCGACTGGGGGGCTTCCGGCTTTCTCGCGATACAACCAAGACTTTGATGAAGCGGGTCGTCTGGGCAAAGGCGGTTTTGGACAGGTTGTAAAAGCCAGGAATAAGCTTGATGGTCGGTTTTATGCTATCAAAAAGATTTCTCAGAGGTCAGCCTCCGCCCTTAAAGATACTCTTTCGGAGATTATGCTGCTCTCGCGACTCAATCATCCATACGTGGTTCGCTATTTCACTGCATGGTTGGAGGAAGAGTATGATAATGTCGACGAAGAAGCCATCTCATCGACCGAGGGAGACCCCTTTGCTAGTCGGGACAGAAATGCTTTTGACTATAGCACTGGAGGGCTTGACTTTATTAGCTCCAGCGGTTACCCCAAGATCGAGTTCGCATCTGATAGTGAGGACGAACATGATGCAAACCCATCTCAAGGAGATGGCACAGAGTCTTACGATGCTTATCGCGAGGAGAGCGCCGCGGGGACTGAGCTAAGTCAAATCAGGTCCGGTTCGCAGGGTAGAGCCCATCTTGTAACGCTTTATATACAGATGGAGTATTGCGAGAAACATGTAAGTGCCCCTCGTAGTCGCTGAAAGGCAAATTGCTAACTTTGCCAGACTCTTCGCGACTTGATAAAGAACGGCTTGTACGATGATATCGATCGTTCATGGCGACTGTTCCGTCAAATTCTTGATGGGCTCAGTCATATTCATAGCCACGGCATTATACACCGCGATCTGAAACCAGACAACATATTCATTGACGTGGCAAGCAACCCAAGAATTGGAGATTTCGGCCTGGCTACCAGTGGGCAGTTTACCACAGCTGTGCGTTCGTCGACTACCGCTGATTTCGAAGGCAATCTTACGCGAAGTCTTGGGACTACTTACTATGTCGCTCCGGAGATGAAGTCTGGTTTCGGAGGTCACTATAATGAGAAAGTCGATGTGAGTATAATGGTACCAACGGTAGCCGAGAGTCGGGTCGCTAATTTGTGGTAGATGTACTCCTTGGGTATAATATTCTTCGAGATGTGCCACCCTTTGCCCACAGGTATGGAGCGCGACCAGACTCTACGGGCGATTCGAGAAGAACATCATGTTCTTCCACCGACTTTCCAGTACTCGGAAAAAGCAGTGCAGGGAAGCATTATCGAATCTCTATTGAGTCATAACCCAAAGGAACGACCATCTGCCTCGGAACTTCTTCAGAGCGGCAAGATTCCTCTCCAAGTTGAAGAAGAGACGTTTAGGCGAGCGATCGTGCATCTCCTCTCTGATCCGAGCGCCCCCGACTACAAGAAGATTCTTTCGGCCATCTTCTCGCAATCGCCCAAAAAATATGAAGATATTGCCTGGGATGTGGACTCGCGTGCTGCTCCTGCTGCCAATGAGTTACTCGTTCAGAGTTTAGTCAAAGAGCGACTGACTGCTATATTCCGCAGACATGGGGCGGTTGAGACTACTAGGCAAGTGCTGTTCCCTCGGTCTCAACACTACAGAAGCGGGGCCGTTCGACTGCTTGACGCATCGGGTAATCAGCTTCAGCTACCGTTTGACCTCACCTTGCCGAACGCACGCTCTATCTCTAGACAGGATCCCTCACTGGAGAAAACATTCGCTTTCGGCACAGTCTATCGCGAGATGCCCCACGGCAGTGAGCCCAGAACTCACAAAGAAGTTGACTTTGATATCGTATCGCACAATACTCTTGACCTGGCGTTGAAAGAAGCGGAAGTTATCAAGGTCCTCGACGAGATCATTGAAGAGTTCCCGCCGCTAAGGTCGTCGCCGATGAGTTTTCTCATCAATCACTCCGACCTTCTGCAGCTAATCATGGAGTTCTGCCGCATCACTCCTTCTCAGGTGCCGTTGGTCAAGGAAGTTATCAGCAAGTTGAATTTTGGCAAATGGACGATGCAAAAGATCAGAAGTGAACTCCGATCACCAGCCATTGGAGTCGCCTCTACATCGTTGGACGACTTGGCCAGATTTGATTTTAGAGGTTCGTTTCACTTTTCCAGTTTGAAAGACGGTGGCTAATGCAAAGCAGACACTCCTAAGCAGGCCCAAAACCGGCTCAGGACCATCATGGAAGGCACCGAGTTCGCTGAGCGACTGTCGCCCATTTTCGCTCGCATGAACATACTCGTGACGTACTTGCAAGGCTTCGACGTCAAGCGGAAGATCTATATCACTCCTCTTGGAAGTCTAAACGACAAGTTCTTCAGAGGCAGTATCCTTTTTCAGTGTGTTTTTGATACTAAGCGGCGGGACGTGTTTGCAGCTGGCGGTCGGTATGACCGGTTGGTGCAAGAATTCTCTCCGAAGGGTCGAACGAGCTGCTCTCAAAGACATGCAGTTGGCTTCAATCTGAGCTGGGACAGACTCGGCTCGGCTATGCTAGAGTATATCAAAAGCACGACGAAAGTACCTACCAAGCATGCTGAATCGGACGCTGGGGCTTTTTGGAAGACCAGGAGGGTAAGTCAGATTCTTTTATTTGTGCCTTATGTTTATCCTGACACTGGCAGTGTGACGTGCTCGTTGCAAGCTTCGATTCGACAGTGCTGCGCACAATGGGTGTCAAGCTTGTGCAGGATTTGTGGGCTAGTGATATCAGCGCTGAATTGGCCGTCGACGCTTCATCATTGGAAGAACTCCTCTCTGAGTACAAAGAGCACAACCATAGCTGGATTGTCATTGCAAAACAAGATAGCAAGGAGCGAGGGTTCAAAGTGAGGTGTCTCGTTCCAAAAGAAGAGCTCGACATCAGGAGCTCCGAGCTCATCCCTTGGCTTC